TGGCAGACTTCATATAATTGAAGGAAGGATGAATGGTGAAATGTCCCGAGACATTCTTGATAAGAATCTGCTGCCATCTACCAGGATGCTGAAGATGAAACAAGGGTGGATATTTCAGCAAGACAATGATCCCAAACACACAGGCAAGGAAACTCTCAATTGGTTTCAGAGAAAGAAAATAAAGCTGCTAGAATGGCCCAATCAATCACCTGACTTGAATCCAATTGAAAATCTATGGAAAGAACTGAAGATAAGAGTTCATAGAAGAGGCCCTGGTAACCTTCAAGATTTGAAGACAGTTTGTGTGGAAGAATGGGCCAAAATCACACCTGAGCAATGCATGCCACTAGTTTCTCCATACAGGAGGCATCTTGAAGCTGTCATTACCAACAAAGGCTTTTCTACTAAGTATTAAATAAATTTCAGTAAGTGTTTTCAATACTTTTCCCTGTGTCATTACACTTTATTACACATAACTTAATTTATGGACATGTTTTGATTTCTTTGTATGTGTGGATTACTTTGGTTGTTACCGACATCTGGTGACAATTTCATGTCAATATTAGAAATATATTTACTGAGAAAAATGTTGACGCGTTCAATACTTATTTTTCCCCGCTGTATATGGAGCACGTCATTTTAAAACTACACAATGATTATCTAGTCTCTCAGTCATGGTGTCGTTACAACTCTGGACTGATGCAAGATGGACTGACATTGACTATCAATTAAATATTGAATTTAAATTGTTGATTTGCTGGGCATACTGGGCAATATGGATGCACATCTCTCAGTAAACAATAACCACCATGTATTCAGCAAAGCCATAATTAACACAATATTTTATATTTGACATTTCTAAAAGGATGGAGCTGATAAATCTATACTCCATTCATAATATATAGGCTTATGTTCACATTGTATAACCAAAGCTAAATCAGGTGGCAAAAACCTGTGTAGGCCTACTAAAAAATCAGACCGATAAGCAGAATCAATAATGACATTGATATCAATAATATCTTATCAGTTCCTGTCCCTAGTAATAACTGTGGAAGGGGCAAAGCTTAGACCAAGACTCAGCAGTTTACCTACACCTGAACCCGTCTTCAGAGAGAGTTTCGCAAGTGTAGCATCATGTGCTTCACGGAGACGTGGCTGAGTGAACTTTCTCCCGACTCACATGTCACACTGGACGGATTTCAACTGGTACAGGCGGACAGGAAAACCACGGAGTGCGGAAAGAAGAAGGGAGGAGGGATTGCTGTGTTTGTTAATGAGAGATGGTGCCACCCTGGACACATCAGTGTCAAGGAACAACTCTGCACTAGAGACTTGGAGCTGCTAGCGGTTAGCATGCGGCCGTACCTGCTCCCGAGAGAGTTTTCACATGTCATTGCGGTGTCTGTGTACATCCCCCCCTCGGCCGTCTTCGCTGCAGCCACAGACCAGATCCATAGTGTTGTCTCTCAACTCCTAAACCAGCACCCCCATTCCCTCCTCCTCATCTCTGGGGACTTCAACCACACATCCCTGTCCTCTGCTCTTCCTCCCTTCCCCCAGTATGTGGATTGTCACACCAGAGACAATAAAACTTTGGGCTTGTTGTATGCTAATATCAGGAATGCATACACCTCATCCCCCCTCCCCCCTCAGGGACGCTCAGGTCACAACCTTGTCCATCTGATCACAGACTACACCCCTCTGGTGAATAAACAACCACCTGAGAAGAGCTCTGTGAAGGTGTGGTCCGAGGAGACCAGTGTCAGACTCAGAGATTGCTTTGAAATGACAGACTGGGAAGCACTCTGCAGCCCCCACGATGGCGACATCGACACCATGACCCACTGCATCACAGACTATATTAATTTCTGTGTGGAGAACACTGAGCCCTCCAAGTCAGTACGCTGATTCGCCAACAATAAACCCTGGGAGACCTCCGAGATTAATGCCCTGCTGAACGAGAAGAAGAGGGTCTTTAGATCGGGGGACAAGGAGGAGTGCGCAGAGTCCAGAAGGAACTCAAACAGAAAAACAGGAAAGGGAAGGACTGTTACAGACAGAAACTGGAAGAGCGGCTAGTGCAGAATAACACCAGAGATGTCTGGAGTGGACTGCAGAACATCTCTGGCCACGGAAAAGGAGTGAGGAGAGACCTGAGCTGCGGCGACAAGAACTGGGCCAATGAACTGAATCTGTTCTTCAACAGATTTGATTCTGCCCCCTCCCCCCTTACCTGCCCTGCACCCTCTTCACACCTCCCTGGGCCAGCTCCCCCTCCTCTCCTCAACCCTCTACTTTCAACTCCCATTCACCTCCAGCCCTCCCCTCCCCACCAGTACAACTGCCCCCTCTCACCCCCCACCACCCCCATATCCTCACCTCAGTCATCTTCCACCCCCTTCTCCATAACAGTTGATCAGGTGAAGTGTCAACTTAAGAAGATCAAGACAAGGAAGGCCCCAGGCCCGGATGGAAGGAGAGGATGGAAGGACTGTGCAGATCAGCTCTGTGGTGTGCTCATGCACTTGTTTAACCTGAGCCTGAGCCTGGAGAAAGTACCGGTCCTGTGGAAGACCTCCTGTGTGGTCCCGGTACCTAAAACCGAGCACCCCAAGGAGCCTAACCATTTCAGGCCTGTTGTCTTGACCTCTCACCTGATGAAGACTTTGGAGAGGATCATCCTGAGTCCCCTGAAACCACTGGTGAGCACACAGCTAGACCCCCTGCAGTTTGCTTAACGGCCTGGTATTGGGGTGGATAATGCAGTGATCTACCTACTGCATAGATCACTGCTACACCTGGAGGACAGTGGGAGCACTGTGAGGGTCATGTTTTTTGACTTTTCTAGTGCTTTCAACACGATCCTGCCGCCACTGCTCAGAGTGAAGTTGGAAAGTGTGGGAGTGGACCATTATCTGGCTGCATGGATGATAGACTACCTCACCAACAGACCACAGTACGTGAGGCTTCGTCACAGTGTGTCTGATGTAGTGCTCTGCAGTACAGGTGCCCCCCAGGGTACGGTGCTCTGCCCTTTTCTCTTCACCCTGTATACCTCGGACTTCACACACAACACCACACACTGCCATGTCCAGAAGTTCTCTGACAACACAGCCATTGTTGGGTGTGTTTCGGAGGGAAATGAACTGGAATACAGGACAGTCATCAGGGACTTTGTCAGCTGGTGCAAGATCAACCAGCTTCAGCTTAATGCCAGCAAAACAAAGGAGATGATTGTGAACCCCAGGCGGAAGACATCCCACTTCACACCAGTGAACATCCAGGGACTGGACATCGAGGTGGTGGAGAACTACAAGTTCCTGGGGGTTCACCTAAACAACAAACTGGACTGGTCCACCAACACCCACGCTCTCTACAAGAAGGGTCAGAGTCGCCTTCACCTGCTGAGGAGACTGAGGTCCTTTGGCGTGTGTGGGGCTCTCCTCAGGACCTTCTACGACTCTGTGGTGGCCTCAGCCATCTACTTCGCTGTGGTCTGCTGGAGAGGGGGCAGCACTGACAGGGATAGGCAGAAGCTCAACAAACTGATCCGGAAAGCGAGCTCTGTCCTGGGCTGCCCCCTAGACTCCATTGAGGAAGTAGGTGACAGGAGGATGTTAGCTAAGCTGACATCCATCATGAACAATAACTCTCACCCTCTGCATGACACTGTAGGGTCTCTGAGTAGCTTCTTCAGCAGCAGACTTTTACATCCTCGCTGTAAGAAGGAGAGGTTCCGCAGGTCCTTCATTCCAGCAGCTGTCAGACTCCACAACTCCTGCTCTTCCTGACCATGTGCAAACTTGCACTTTTTCATGTACATATCGTGTGTATTGTGTATATTGTATTTATTAGTGTATATTTGGTGTATTTTTGATGTATATTTCCATAGATGTTTATTCTATAGATGTTTATTTTTCTGCTGTGGTAAATGAATTTCCCAGTTGTGGGATTAACAAAGTTAATCTAATCTAATCTAATCTAATGATAAGGGACACTCCTTCGATGACAGTTATGTACATATTCTGGTCATGGAGTAAAGGAGGTTTGAAAGAGGAGTGAAGCAGGCCATCTATATCCTCATTAGAGGAGGGGGTATACGACACCACTTATCCCCCACCCACAATGCTGTCCTTACCATGTCCTTTCCATCTCTACAATCCACCCCCAATACCAAAAAATGGCGTCAGCATCATTGATTCATTGTTGACAGTCGGCTCCTGGATTAGTCAAGTGAGTGTTCTAAGCAACCTTTAGAACCTGATGGTTTTCACTGTCTCTGCTAAATTCATGCCAACACTGTTTGTTGCTGCAGCTCCACCCACCCTCCTAATGCCCAGCTGAGGTTTTTGGATTGTTGACCTGCTTATATCGAATGTGCATGTACAGTATGTTTAATCTATTTATGGACAATCAATCTATTTTCCATACTCAGCCAGACTACTGAAAAAAGCCTTAACCTACTATTTAGATATTAGAATTTGTTTCAAAATTACATTTGAGCATTTTCCTGTAAGAATTCATTTTTGCACAGAACAAGGACTCGTGTCCCCTAACTCATACACTAGAATCATGTTAGGGATCACTTTACAGTGTAGACAGGAGGAACTATTAAAGGCACCAGTTATCCAGGATCAAAGATGCTGGGCTTTCTGTAGGGAGGTAGCCCAAAAAGAGCCAGACTAAACTGAACCATTTTCAATCCATAACCTAAACTCATCTATGAATATGGCTTGTAAAAATAGAAAGAAAAATATTTGGCTTTACATTGTATTTAGTTTCAACTTGCACCAAGACAAAATCATGTTTCTGCAAAACATGTTGATATTGAAGGATTATATACTGTAGCCTCCAGGTGCTGGTACTGGATCTTTATGAATGTGTATAACTCTGTAATCTGATCAACACTTTTATATAGAATCAGTGCTGGTAAACTACTTCATATAAAACCAGAGGAGTGAATATTGTTAATTAAATGACAGTCTTGTATTCACTAGTACCTCCTCTGCTCGTCTCCATGTTCCCCAGATGGAACAGTTAGACACTCGTCCATGTGACCATGAAGGAGACGCAGGACATCCCCTCCTATCAGGAAACCTGCAGACAGAGAGTATAGAGGGAGAAGAGGGAGAGTGACATTGGAGAAAAAAAACAAGAAAGAGAGAGATTAAATAAAAAAAGAAGGTGAGGCAAAGGAGAAAGAGGAAAGAGGAGGATAGATAGAACCAACGATGGGACTGAATTATACTCCAGATAATTTGTAGCCTTTAGCCCCCTACTCTGCACAAGCCGTGGTCATTTTGCAACTCATGTGAGTGTTCCGATGAACCCTGACTTCTGATGTGGTAGGAGGGCATCAGTAGGTAATTATGGTATTATGACAAGGATTTGCACTTTTAAAACCCACCTGTTCAGATATATTAAGACCAGCAGACCTGACACTATGGGAACTGTAGTCCCTGACAGACCACGTCAGTATCCAGAGACATCTGCAGTGTCCCAATTGTACACTATGTACAGTTGGAACCAGAAGTTTACATACATTGTATAAAACCTTTTTTTCTCACTGTCTGACATTAAATCAGACTAAACTTTTCCTGTTTTAGGTCAGTTAGGATTAACCTAAATTATTTATATTTGCTAAATGCCAGAATAATGAGAGAGATAATTTTTTGGATAATCTTTTATTACTTTCTTCAAAGTCAGAAGTTTACATACACTAAGATTACTATGCCTTTAAACAATTTGGGAAAGCCCAGATGATGATGTCATGGCTTTGGAAGCTTCTCATAGGTTAAATGACAACATTTGAGTTAATTACAGGCACACCTGTGGATGTTTTTTAAGGCACACCTCAAACACACTGCTTCCTTGTGTGACATCATGGGAAAATCAAAAGAAATCAGCCAATATATCAGGAAGAGAATTGTGGACTTCCACAAGTCTGGTTTATCCTTGGGTACAATTTCCAGATGCCTGAAGGTGCCACGTTCATCTGTTCAAACAATTATACACAAGTATAAACACCATGGGAATGTCCAGCCAGCATCATGTTGTGGGGGTGTTTTGCTGCAGGAGGGATTGGTGCACTTCACAAAATAGATGGCATCATGAGGAAAGAACATTATGCAGAAATATTGAAGCAACATCTCAAGACATCAGCCATGAAATTATAGCTTGGGTGCAAATGGGTCTTCTAAATGGACAATGACCCTAAGCATAATGCCAAATTAGTTACAAAGTGTCTTAAGGACAACAAAGTCAATGTTTTGGAGTGGCCATCACAAAGCCCTGATCTCAATCCTATAGAAAATTTGTGGGCAGAGCTGAAAAGGCGTGTGTGAGCAAGGCGGCCTACAAATCTGACTCAGTTACACCAGTTCTGTCAGGAGGAATGGGCCAAAATTCCAGGAAACTATTGTGAGAAGCTTGTGGAAGGATACCCAAAACGTTTGACCCAAGTCATACAGTTTAAAGGCAATGCTACTAAATACTAATGAAATGTATGCAAACTTTTGACTTTGAAGAAAGTAATAAAAAATTGTCTAAAAAATTCTCTCTCTCATTATTCTGGTATTTAGCAAATATAAATAATTTTGGTAATCCTAACTGACCTAAAACAGGAAAAGTTTAGTCTGTTTTAATGTCAGACAGTGAGAAAAAAAGGTCATGTGTCTTTTTATACAGTGTATGTAAACTTCTGGTTTCAACTGTACATATTGCATCTGTATACATTTTTATGTGTGCTCTTGATATAACCTATTGTCCAACGATGCATTCCAGAAAGGGAATTGAGGAGCTGCTCATATCTGCAAAATGGTGAAATGGTGACACAGTTCCACAAGATTATAATGTAATACACACTGTACAGAGTTAAAATGTAAATTAGAATTATTACACAGCATGTCAAAGATGATTCACTGTACAACAAAGTTAGTTCTTACTTCACCTGAACACTGAACACCACTAGATCAGCTGTTCCTTCTGAATATCATTAAGTGTGTGAACATGCAAACATGCATCCATTTGTCCTGATATTTAAATTAAATTTCACAAATGTGTCCAAAAATAAGAGGAAGCAAGAAGAAACCAGAAAGTAAGATAGCAAAAAGCACAATATAAGCAGAGAGAAAAAAGAGAGACACAAAGGAAGACAGTACCTTGTGCTACTTCACTGCCAGAACAGATGGGAGCCACGCTCCACAGAGTCTGCTGGAAAGCTGCATCTACATGGAGACTGCCATTGCCATAGGACAGATGCTGAAGGAAGACAGAGACAACAATTTAATGACACACTGGACTGAAACACACACGAACACTGAGGATGGTCCTCGATCTAAATCCTGTATTCAGCAGGTCAGAGAGACAGGTCTACTGTGGCCACTGGGAGCAGCAGAGACTGAAGTGCTCCAGATGTATAAACCAACTGCATGGTAGCATCTTCAAAGTGAGTGATACAGTCAGAAGAAAGAAATGGTGGTACAGAGAGAGAGGACAGAGAAAGAGCCCTTGAAAGAAGGGCTACAGCTAGAAAAGAGGTAATTACAACTCCTCAAGCAACATTCAAATGTTAATGCTCTGTTACTTAGTTTTACAGAAGTTTGTACACCCTACTAAGTCAGTGCTCAGTAAACTTAGATGTTGACTTTTGTGATGATGCAGGTAAGGTTTTCTTCTGATGACTCTTCCATATAGACCCTATTTAGGCTATAAGGGTGCCCAAACTTTTGATAAGTACAAATGAATATTCAGGAATAATAGAGCCCAGCATATTATGCAAACAGGTACAAGCAGGCAAATGTGCATATACTATATGTAGATAAACTGTCTGAGGTCTTTCCTGAGAACTAAATCAAAGATTATGAAACTTGGGGTTAAGATTACATAGCTGTAGCAAATAAAGGCATCATCAGGAGAATCCCCACATGTGAGAAAAGCTGCTGCTTTTCATTCTGATAATTATTCATCCTCATGTCATGGCTCCTCTGTCCTTCAGCCCATCACATGGAAACTGACTGAGAAGACAAGTAGAGAGGAGATTCCTGGAGGTGCTTAGAGAGAGGAACCAAACTGTTTCCAAGCACATGTGGTGTTTTTTTTTTTTTTAACAAATAGCAATACATTTCAGTTTACTGATGCATGGCTGTGTAGCACCCCACTGTACCCTAGACTAATGGGGTGATTTTGGGTTTGTTTGGTGTTAAGGTAGCTACCCGAAGGTTTACCTATTTTAAGTAATCTGATATTACTGTTACTGATATTCAAAAATAATTCAAACCAATGCACTTGTTCTAACTTATTAACCGACACCAGACAACGTTATAAAATTAAACAAATGTAGTTTACTTAAGGTTTTGCGGCAATACAAATATTTACCCTTTAAATTAAAATGAAACAAACAAACAAAGTTATATATAGTGTCTCCAAAACACACCTTATACCCCCCTGAAAAGAAATAAATAATAACCTCTGGACTAACTCAACAGTACTTTACTGAGCAATACTAAAAAATACCCCTCAATTGTTCATCACAAATGTATAACCAAATACCTTAATGGTTTAATACTCAATAACTGATACTCAATAACTGAAAATACTATACACTAACGTGGGCCCACACACGCACACTCACACACACACTCACGCTAACAGAAACCCCTGTTGCAGGCCTGTTTGATGCTCGGGTGCGTTGCGGCCGATGAACATCCGCTCTTCCCACGAGAGAAACCACACAGCAGGCTCACAGTTCAGACGAAGAAGTCCTCTCCTCCCAGCGAAAACCGCGCAGCTAGTCCGACTCACTGCTCAGCTGACGAAATCCTCCGCTCTTCCCGCAGAAAAACAGCCAGGCAAATTCACAGCTCAGCTGGAGAAATCCTCTGCTCCACACCCCCAAAGTGCCACCAGGCAAACTCACAGTTCAGCTGGAAAAATCTTCGGCGGGCACCAGACGACCGCGACGGCGAAGTCTTCCTCCTTCCGTCCGACAAGTTGTCCTTTAACTTCACGTTGACGAAACACCCACACACACACTAATACTAGCCTCAATAAACTCTCAGTTAATGAGGAACAGTGCGGTAGTGTTTATAATTTTTCTCAATACTCGAGATACATTACATTGTGCTCCTCTCGGTGCTAGCTTAGCTGCTGCCTCCTGCCGTGTACCCTTTTCCTTTTTTTTTCACTCCCCCCTTTTTTTCCGCATTCTCCTGCAATCATCACAGGTGAATCCAACAGACTACGCAGCAAACCAATAAAACAATAGAACAAAGCCACATGAATTCTCTAAAGGCAGATCTCGTGATATTTAACTATTTATCTTCAAAATGAACTTAAAATGCACTTATTCTTTTTAACTGAAATCTCCATTAATTTATTAATATTCAGTGTGTCTCCTTTAATTATTGTGAAAACAACCTTATTAAGTGTTATGAAAATAATCTTAATTCCACTTAATTTCTTATATTATTAGGTCTTTCCTCTTTTATAAAGTACCTTTATATAACCCCTCATTTTCTCACAGGGCCTACAGCTGTAATACTGTAGATTACATAAAGTGTAAAATCTATATCAGGAATGAATAATGACGGCAACTTTTTTCTACATTGAGAGATAACCCAACTACAGAGAAGGCTCTAATGTGCCACACTATGGATGTTGATTGGTAGTTCATCCAATGATTATCCCACTGGCTTCTATGTGTAAGTACAGTGTATGATTGGTTGCTTTTTACCTTTTTATCATACTTGATTAAGTTTTGTCCACTTTTGATCAGTTTTACTAAGAGGGATGATGATTAAGGAGTGAAGGACGAAATACACAGTAAGAAGGAGAGAAGAATGGAATGAAGGGGTGAAGGAAAATAGTGATAAGGAAGGAGGCCAAACAAACAAATCAAGAAAACATTTTAGCATACCCTCCCACCCCTCTCTCCTCACACATATTCCCACACACAGCCTCTACTAACCAGATATCTTTCAGAGGAGACGCTGACCAGGATGAGATCATCTCCCACTCTAACCTTCTCTCCCTCTGAACGCTGCTTGGATGCTGGATGGATGGTCCACCAGCAAGCCTCGCCTACACACACACAAGGAAAAATACACACACACACACACACACACACACACACACACACACACACACACACACACACACACACACACACACACACAAACACAGCTCAGAAAATAGAAATGTATGCATGACTCACAGGCTCATACACCAAGATGAACTCCTGTGATACTACCTACCACCGGTTTGGCAGCCTATATTTTGCAGCTGTTCTGCTTGTACTGTAATTTGCATCATCTTTACAGAAGCAGGTCAAGTACAAGAACAGAGGAGACTGTGTACTCTATAGTGTCATACTGTTTTGACCTTGTTGAAAAGTGAAGGTACACAGCTTTCTTCCAGGAAAGACATGGATATACTGTAATCCTGAGTTAAAATACCAAACTGTACCAGGATGGAACTACTAAAGCTAATGGAATCAGGTTAACTTTAGCCTTTGCCCTATTCAGACTTAACTTAATTTGTTGAAGGTCTGACATGATGAAGATTTTTCTGAATGATAAAGCTGTCTGTACTTAATTTAAACAATATTTTTTCATCTCTGAATATTGTTTTTTTCTTATGTTTCCAGCTGAGCTCTGCCTCCTCATGCCCAAATCACATCCAGCTAGAGTTGACCCCATCTCCTTAAAAATCATATCATCATATCACACTTGTAATTTTAAATCCCCTTAACAGCATCTGTAGACTACAAAGAGAGATGTTTGAGGTGATTTCTATACTATACCAATGTTAACAATAAGCTCTATAGGTTACTTCTATCAATTATCACGTCATCAGATGCTTAAGGCATGTAGTCTCTAACTGCACTAATATCACCATTTGTCATTCAGTCAAATTGTTTTGCTCCGTGGCAGGTTTTCAAAAGTTCATCTCTGAGTTAGCTAACATCTTATGAGTATTTACTGAGCTGTATTTCCTTGGTGAACTAGACATGTTCTCTCCCCTCCCTTGTGGTATCTGGACATTTCAATTAGAGAAACAAAAATACAGTTTGAAAGCGGAGCATGAAAAACAAAAAAATTTGAAGAACATAATCCTCATGTAACCACCTGGCTCATCCAAGTAAGAATGAGCGTGGTGGAGCATGTAAAGGACGGCATCATCCACTCCAATATGTTCCTTGTAGGTGAATGGTAGGGGGACTAGTGCGTGTTCACCCTGTGGCCTCAGAATGTGGAGAAGCAGCCGCTTCAGGGTCTTCATGATTTGTGATGTGAGGGCCACCGGTCTGTAGTCATTTATCTCAGATGGTCGCCCTACTTTAGGGACCGGAACAAGACATGATGTTTTCCCTTCCTGTTTGTAGACTTCAGTTGAAGATCCTCTGGAGAGGCTCAGCCAGCTGGGCTGCACAGCATTGGACACACAGCATCGAGGCCTGCTGCCTTTCCAGGACGTAGCCTCTTGAGCTCCGCCCTCACCTCCTTTGCTGTAGAGGACAGGAGACTTGACCCCAGTGTGTAGGGAGTTGCAGCTGCAGTGTCAGGTTGTGAAGGAGATGCCGTAGGAGAAGCTGCAGCTGAAGCAGTGGAAAAGAGAACAGATGAAGCTGTGTCAAACCTGTTGTAGAGCAGGTTGAACTCATTGGCCTTGTCCACATCACCTGATGTTGCCTGGCTGTTCTTCTCTTTATAGCCAGTAATGGTCGTCATCCCCTTCCACACCTCTCTGGTGTTGTTGTACTGCAGCTTCCTCTCTACTTTCTTTTTGTAGTCCTCCACCTGCTTTAATCTTCTCTTCAGCTCATGTTGCACACACCTGAGCTTCTCCCAGTCTCCATCCCTGAAGGCCTCCTTTATCTGGTTGAGGAGGGTTTTGATGTTACTGGTGATCCAGGGTTTGTTGTTTGTCCGACATGACAAAACCGTTCACCTCCTCCCACTGACTCTGCTTTTATATCTTACCAAACTAACTGTCAACCATGTACTGTAAATGAAAGTATCGCAAACTTAAATAGTGTTACAAATTCATGTGAGTACTGTGAGACAAAGATCAGCTTTAACAGTGCAGGTGGTGACTGAATCATGTTTTACCCTCTGGGTTTACTGTATGTGCTCGCTGGTGAGACTGTTCAGTACTAGAACCCTGTACTAACCTGTGTACTCAACTCAACTGAACTCAGCTGCTGCTGATACCAGCACTGGTACAGACTTCAGTCCTTGATTCTTCTCATACATGCTAAACTGTGGCCTATATGCCAAAAATGCCATACCATTTGGGAGTTTCTGAATCAGACAGTAGACTGTTTAGTAGAGAGTAGTAGAGTGTTTATTAGCCTGTTAGCTTGTGGATATTACTCATGATTCCTGGGAATATAATGACACATTTTGTTTAAGTTCCACTCCACACCAGCATATTATGTTAGTGTGACCCTCACTCTGAAGAAAAACAACACATCGCAGCCCCAGTCAGCACAGAGTAAGGTTAGTCCATAGCTTTCGGCGTGGTAGCAACATGTCACTGTGTGTTGTTATTGTTGTAACAGACTGTGTTTTCTGTGTGTTTCAGTAAGTGTGTCCCCAGCTGCCATAAGACATAAGTTGTTGGCACTATGTGTCTATGTCCCATGTATTATTTTCATTACTAAATGTGCTCATTTAGGTGAACTCATGCACAGTTACAGTGTATAACAGTTAAAGCTACTACTGTCATGGTTTGCAATGGCAGACACTTTTTGTTAGTTTGTTTGGACTTTTGTCACTTCCTGTTTTATTTTGTAGTTGGTTTCCTTGTGTGTCTTAATGTTTTTACTTCCTGTCTTGGTCCTGTTTCTCTGTGTGGTGATTGTCTGCCCTGCCCTAATGTGTTTCACCTGTGTTCAATCACCCTTGACTCCCTTGTGTATATATAGTCTTTGTGCTCACCTTTGTCTGTGTCGGTTCGTCTGTTCATCTCTGGTTTTTCCTTGATCTGTTCATCTCTGGTTTTTCCTTGATGTGTTCATCTCTGGTTTTTCCTTGATCTCTTCATCTCTGGTTTTTCCTCGATCTGTTCATGTCTGGCTTTTCCTCGATCTGTTCATCTCTGGTTTGTCCTTGATCTGTTCATGTCTGGTTTGTCCTCGGTCTGTTTATGTTCCCTGTTCGGTTGGCTGTGGTATCCCCTGTGTCTCCGGTTGTTGTTCCTTGTGTGCCCTCGTGCTTCGATTTCCTGTTCTGTTGGTTCACCCGTTTTGTAAGTTCTTCAGTCAATAAACATTTTCACCTCATTCCCCTGTGTTGGCTGTATTTGGGTCCAGCTTTACCCGCATTGTGACAGAACAAACCGACCATAATATGGACCCAGCAGCATACGGCAGTTTCATGGCTTTTATGAGGTTGCCTCAATCCTCCCAGTCAGCACCCCCTTCAGTCTTCAGGCCCCTTTGCACGCTGGCTGACTCAGATCTGGAGGACCCTGAGTCGTCTCCTTTTTGGGGAATCCGGCTAGCCTTCCCTGGGAGGTATCTAGGGGAGGGAGCCCCTGGGAGGAAACGCAGGTCACGGAGACGCTGGTTCTCCAAGCAGCCTCAGCCCCAGAACTCTCAGGCCGAGCCTCGACCTCGATCCTTCCAGCCAGTGCCCCCCCCGTCGAACATCAGGTCCCTTTGCACGATGGCTGACCTGCTGTCTGACTCAGACCTGGAGGACCCTGATGAGTCCCCTTTCAAGGGAATTCGTCTGGCTATTTTTACGGGGTTGTGTGGTGGCTACAGAAAGCGAGGTCATCATTGCACCACAGGAAGACTCAGCCTCTGCCCCAGAACTCCCAGCCCGAGCCTCAGCCTCGATCCTTTCAGCCAGTGCCCCTGTCAAACGTCAGGTCCCGTTGCACAATGGCTGACCCGCTGTCTGACCCGCTGTCTGGCTTGGACCCTGACGAGTCCCCTTTCAAGTGAACAGGCTATTTTTATGGGGTTGCGTGGTGGCCACAGAAGGCAAGGACATCATGGCTCCCGTCACCACAGGGAAATTCAGCCTTAGCCCCAGCCCCAGGTTCCTCGCTTCCAGCCAAAGTCCCAGCCCCAGGTCTCCAGTTTCCAGCCCAAGCCACAGTCCCAGGTCCCCAGCTTCCAGCCCAAGCCCCATCTACCCCAATTTCCAGAACCTCTGCTCTCCTGTGACCAGGAGCCCTCGCCAATCATCCTGGCTGACGCATCAGCTGTTCCAGTGTCAGGGGTCCCAGTTGACGTTTCATCGGCTCCTGACTCAATTCTTGGGTCGACCATCCTGGCTGACGCTTTGGCTGTCTCAGCGTAAGGGGTCCCGGTCGACTCCTCCCTTGTTCCTGAGTTAGGTGTTCTGGACAATGTCTCACCTGCTCCCCATGTCCTGTCGGCGGCCCAGTTGACTCATGATTCTGGTTCTCAGTCAGTGGTCCGGCCGACTCCTGTTCCTGATTCCCTTTCAGCATCCTGGCCGAATCCTGTTCCTCCCGTCCTGTCGGTGGCCCAGCTGACTCCTGAGTCTGGTTCCCAGTCAGTGGTCCGGTCGACTCTTATTCCTGATTCCCTGTCGGCGGTCCAGCTGAATCCTGTTCCTACTGTCCTGTCGGTGGCCCAGCTTACTCCTCATTCTGGTTCCCAGTCAGTGGTCCAGTCGACTCCTGTTCCTGATTCCCTGTCAGCAGCCTGGCCGAATCCTGTTCCTCGTGTCCTGTCGGTGGCCCAGCTGACTCCTGATTCTGGTTCCCAGTCAGTGGTCCAGTCAACACCTGATCCTGATTCCCATTCGGCAGTCCGGCCGAATCCTGCTCCTCATTTCCTGTTGGCGGTCCAGCCAATTCCTGCTCCCCAGGTCCTGTTGGCGGTCTGTCTGAATCCTGTTCCTCCTGTCCTGTCGGCGGCCCAGCTGACTCCTGATTCTGGTTCCCAGTCAGTGGTCCGGCTGACACCTGATCCTGATTCCCTTTCGGCAGTCCGGCTGAATCCTGCACCTCATTTAAGGTGAAACTGCAACTGGCTCAGGTGAAACTGCAACTGGCTCACTCAGTGAGTGAACGCTGGCACAACTTGCTGCCGCTGC